TACCAATTCTGACTCCTCAGCGCACTTACATGTTTAAAGTAGGACTTTTATTCCCATATATACTGTAAAAGACATGAAAACAAAAACAACGGTGGGTCAGTTCTCAGTCAGATCCACAGTACTAATGACCTTTCATTTTTAATTAAACATCAAAAATGACATTTATTCAAATATAACAGGATGATGTGACGGGTATGAGGATTTTGTCCTTGTGAAACTCAGTCTCTGTTGTTTGTCTGTTTTGCAGGAACCAGTAATCAGGGTCGAGGCTACAGTCTGCAGATGGCTCAGGCTGGTTTCTCCTCACATTTAGTCAAAGTGAGTCAAAGTAACAAGTACTTTTTATATACAGTGCTCGTTAATAAAGTTTACACTCCTGAAGCCTGAATTTTACATCCCACAGATATAAGTTGGTGTCAGTTGTCAGTGATCTTTACATACTTCAGAAAATTCTGTAAATATGTACTCACTGTCTGCTAGCTGTTTGTCAACTGCACAAAAATTTCTAGCGTTTGCACACAAATGTGGCTCTGTAAATAGATAATATAAAGTGGCTCAGATGGATCCATGCAACACTGTTCCAGCGTGTTGCTGTGTTTTGCCCGGGACAGGTGAATAGAGGGTGATGGAAGATGGGGGACAACAACAGTCCTCCTCTCCCCCCTACATGATTATAAAATCAACATTTTGACAATGAATTGTTAATTTGCAGATCCAGAATCAGTCAATACACTTGACCCTGAAACTCTTATGGTTGGGCACTTCATGCTGCTGCTGTTGCCAAGGATTCATCATTTTAGTCCACAATCCACTGGCCTGTAGAAACGATGACTCAGCAATGTAATAGTTTTCATATCTGGACTTTAATTTTAGGTGATCTGTCTTGTCAATCATTAGCACTCAGTTACACACTCAGATGAGCTCTGGCAGTCGTAAAGATGATTCAAAAGTTTTTTGTTTCAAAAATGCCAGCAGGTTTTTCACTTGAACTCAGTGAAGAGGCTTTGTCATTAAAATACAACTGGAGTGAGTCACAGTAGTACTGAGAAATGGTCCTTACCAGATATTACGTTTTAGTCATTCTTTCCTGAAAGAGAATGAGTCAGCACTGGTGACTTAAGACTGCATGAAAAAATATTTTGGTCAAAACTTTGATGAGCTGATTATTGAGTGTGTGAGGGTATGTTTGGATCACCAACCAAGATTGGTTTCACATTAATTAATTTTATAGAGAAAGTCAGTCAGCAAGGTGGTGATTGGTGCAGTCAGCTAAGTAGAGCAGGGCAGAATTTCACTTCAGGAACAGGCATTGGGCAAGGTGGTGCAGTTGATTAGCACTGTTGCCTCGCAGCAAGAAGGTCGCCAGTTCACGTCCCAGTGAGGACACCTGGGATCTTTCTGCGTGGAGTTTGCATGTTTTCCCCGTACAGCGTGGGTTCTCTCCGGGTTCTCATCATCAGAACTAGTCAACTAGTATTTTCCGCATGCAAGATTCATGTCTTGCATTGCTGAAAACATTTCTAACTATGGGTAAATTCTTAGGTCATGTACTAAATGTTAAAGCCATTAGGACCAAGAACTAACACTTTTGCTGAATAGTTCACTTAATGTTCTGCTTTAACTCAGGTGCTTTCAACCATCTTTGCACACTTAACTACTTTGGTATTTTCAGTGCTTTCACTTCATTTAATCATAAGACATTACAGTACATTAACAAATAGACAACTTTTGATCAAACTTTTTGTTTTTGTAATTTTTTGCATCATTAATCTGTAGTTATATGTTCGTTAATTATAACATCTGTAAAATAACCTAAGCAACTAGTGCATGGTTGCACTTGTGTGTAAAGAAAGTGCATCACTCCTGAAAAGCTGCAAATTTCCTTACATAACATTGACTTGATGATCTAATATTGCATCAACTAGTGTTTTCCACTTCTGACTACACCCACCCAGACATATTAGTGATGCTTAGTTTGGCCAGAGGTACAAACTGAAGTTAACACTATCAACCAGCACGTGTTTTTCCTCATACAGCATGTTTAAAGCAGACAGTGCCTTCCATCTAAATCACTGTTTTCCATTTAGGATGGTGTTCTTCTGGGAGCAGTAGGTGCATACGACTGGAATGGTGCAGTGCTGAAAGAAACTAAACATGGGAAGGTTGTTCCACCAAAATCCTCCTACCAGGACGAGTTTCCAGAGGTGCTGAAGAACCATGCAGCATATCTGGGTAATAAGAGTGTAAAATGTCATATTGTGGTTTATTTTTTTATTTTTTTTTTATCTCTTCATCTTTCTTTGTCTCTGTCTTTGCAGCTTGTGTCTTTTCATTTTGGGTTTAATACCTAATGTATCAAATATTTACAGAATTTGAAATACTGTCTAGTAATATTTGTCGTTGCACTTTTCTTGCTTAAAATAGCATAGAGGCTGCAATAATCCTTATACAGGGCCTCACCACCCAATAGTTTTGGACAGAAAAATCACAGGTTTTGGCCCAGCTGGAGCTTTAACTTTAGCAGGAAATTAAACTGAGGATCCTTTTAGGAGCATCACTATAATTGCAAGTTCATCTGCAATGGACCCACAAGACTTTGATCTTAATGATTTGGTTGATGGTTAGTGGTCAAAGACAAGAAAGACTGCTCTGCTGATTTAAGCTGTGTTAAATGATCAAAATAATGGGAAACAATCTAACAACTGAGAACACACTGGGTGTGCGACTCCCATCAATCAGTTTCTGCTTTCACTTGTTTCAGGTTACTCAGTGGGTTCATTAATTTCATCCCGGGGTTCTCAGATCTATGTGGCTGGAGCTCCAAGGTTCAACCACACTGGCAAGGTGATCGTCTTCACCCTGAAGAACACTGGAAACCTGACCATCCTGCAGGCGCTGCTGGGAGAACAGGTCTCTTTCCTTCTCTCTCTTGCTCTCTCTGATAGCCTGGTTGTCAGAGACACATTCCCCTAGCTTCATGAGATGCCTTCTGTCAGATAGAAAGTCAGTGATCCACCTGTAGATGAAGGTCAGGCATGTGTAGCTGCGAAAGCTTCACCTGGGCTGGATCTGGTGGCTGGAATCATGTATGATGGGCTCAGACAAGTAGCAACAGCAGAACTTATTCAGGTCGTTAGCCAGGCACAGATCATTCATTGACAAGGGGACTTTTGGTTTATAATTAATATGTCTGAGCCCTTTCCAGACAGACCTGCCTCTGTGTCCACTCCTAAATACCTCCTGCTTCTCCACTATGAATCATCTGAGTAAACTATGTTTTGTCATTGCTTTAAATGAATAAACAAGTAAATCTTGTCACAAAGCCATTACTACATTCATCTGTTTCATACGACTCTAATATATAGTTTTTAATCTAATATTGTCCCTGTCTTTTCTGACATGTATTGCTTTGTTCTATATTTTTCCAGATCGGGTCATATTTTGGCAGCGAGTTGTTATCGATGGACGTAGACAGTGATGGACATACTGACTGCCTCCTAGTGGCGGCACCCATGTATTACAGTCAAGGCTGGGAGAAAGGGAAAGTTTATATCTACTCTGTTACACCACAGGTATATACACATGGCACAAAGTTGATCCTCAAAGCTTGATTAGTTACACAGAGACTTCATTTTCCAAATAGATTAATTCTTTCTGGCAGTGTAAATCACAACATATTTGTAAAAGACACAAGTGCAAAGTTATTAATCAGATTACTTGTAACAAAGCTAAAGGAGACACTCAGTATTTCTGTGACTATCATAACAATAGAGGCAAATACAGCATAGTTACTACACAATATTGGCAAATGTCTAGTTTCACAAAAGGATGAGTCTAAGCTAAAGTAAAATAAAGAAACTAAACTGTTACTTCTCTTCAGACGTCATTTGTCCTGCAGGGAGTGCTGGAGTTGTCTGACTGCTCTCAAAACTCTCGTCTGGGTTCAGCATTGGCCCAGATTCCAGACATGAATGGAGATGGCTTCCAGGAGCTTGTGGTGGGAGCCCCACTGGAAGATGATCACCAGGGGGCAGTCTACATCTTTTATGGGCAGGACAAAACCACCCAACCACAATACAGACAGGTAACCAGTTTAGCAACAGACAGAAACTGAGATATAACTTCAGTAATCACTTAGAATTAATGCGGCGTGTGTTTTAGCATGCTTAACGCTAACACATAACCAAGGTGAAAGCAACAATCACAGTTTGTACAGTTTGTAAAGCTAATCATTTTTGCCTTGTTTGTTTCTGTGGCAGATATTCAGTTTGATATTAATATTATTATGTATGATTTCAAATTTAATTCTCTGGTGTGCCGGATTTAATGACAACAATGAAGATAGATCAGACGACTATTAGATTAGTATTATATTGATCAGTACTTTGAGCACCATCAAACTGTTTAGTCCTGTTTGAATGCTGAATTCTAATATTCAGTGATGAAACTAACTTTGACAGTGTTAATTAAAACAGAGAGTGTTGATATTCTCTTGCTTTTTTTCTCCAGCGTCTGTCTGCAGCCAGTTTGTCTGCAGGTCTGCAGTATTTTGGTCAAAGTCTTCATGGCGTTCTAGATATAAATGCAGATGGGCTTGTCGACCTTGCTGTGGGAGCACTGGGAGCTGCTGTCATCATCTGGTTAGACTGTTTCACACACTCACAAGCAAAATTGTTTTGTAGAAATGTTCTAAGTTAGGCATTTGGTTCACCACTTTGCTTCATACTGAAACTTTGATGAACAATTGGACTGATGGAAATTCATCCATCCATCCATCCATCCATCATCTATACACCGCTTAATCCTCACTAGGGTCATGGGGGATTGGAGCCTGTCCCAGCTGACTTAGGGCGAAGCCAGTATATCACAGGGCTACACTTAGACACAGACAACCTACGGACAATTTAGAATCACCAGTTAACCTCAACATGTTTTTGGACTGTGTGGGAGGAAGCCACGCTGCACGGGGAGAACATGTAAAGATCCCGGGTGTCCTCACCGGGACACGAACCGGCGACCTTCTTGTTGTGAGGCAACGGTGCTAACCACCGAGACACCTTGCAGCCCATTGACACTCATGAGCGTCAAATAATTCACACATTGGTGACCACCTTTTGTCCCTACTGCGACCACAAAATAAACATTGATCTTTTTAAATACATTGGTTGGTTTGTAGTACAAGTAAACAAAAGCAAGCATATTATATGTACTAATGATTAATATGGGAGTAAAGTTATACTGCTGATGATGTATAGCCTCACAGACATTTTGAGCATGACACTAGACTTTTGTGGTTACTGCGAGGACTTTGCATTGACTAATTTACCTGAGAACCTATCTTAAAACTTAACCATCACCCTACATATCAATTCACAGTTTTCAAGTATTTCCTCCAACCTAAATCCAACAAATATTGCTATTCATTCCAAAATGCAATGCGTTACCTGAAGGGGTCAGTTTTTGCCCACAAATGTTAACTGATACCCCACGCTTACAGTACTACAAGTGAACACACACATACAAATGCACTGCCCTGATAATAATATGCTCTGTCTCTCCAGGTCTCGTACTGTCGTACGGATTCAGGCCAAAGTAACCTTTGAACCTCAGAAGGTCAACATCTTTAACAAGGACTGTCAGCAAGGAGGGAAGGAGGTCACCTGCATGTCTCTTACTGTTTGTCTGAGTCTGGACTCCAGGACAACGATCAGGACAGATATCGGTAGGTGGAATAAATACACAAACATACATGTTTCTCTATTAATTTAGGACTTTATCATCACGCTAACTGCAGAGTCAAACAATAGAAGCAGCGTTATGGTCAATGTAGTCTTGCTTAGACAGCCCATGTAGTGTATAGTGGTCTAGGTGGACCTGAGTATCAATTTGCAACAGGGAAAATATATGCTCTGGCTTGTTATATGTCTCTAAACCCATCATAGTTGTTGTGGGTACAGTAAGTAAACAATGTGGCTTCAGTGTTCCCGCAATATAGTGACAAGTGGAATTGCTGGTATGGAATATTCGAGAAAGACCCAAAGGTAATGTTGCAATATTTGAGCCATCCCATCTAAGTTCCTCCTTCCAAAATGAATAAAAGAATTTAGGGAGTCTGCACTGTGACCATAGAGAGTGAGTTTGGGTTGAGCCGCCTTGTAAACTGCTACCCTGTTGCCAGCATGCCTTCATGCTGAGACTCCAGAGACATGGGCTTAGGACCAGCAGGACTGGACACAGGACAAGGATCAAGGTCAGCTTGGGTATGGAGAGGTCTTAAGAATGTCCAGAGGACTTGGAGACATGCTCACTGGTGGAGGATGCACTCCTTTGGTGTGCAGAGAGCAAGGAAGACAGAGACACAACTCCCTTCTCCAGGTTGACAAGGGAACCAAAAGCATGCCACAACAGAATCAGAATCAGAAATACTTTACTGATCCCCAAGGGTCCCATTCAAAGTCTTAGAAATATTAGCAGTACAAAATATATAAATAAGGATTGAGGAGTAATACAGTTGGATGGCTATCATGAGGAATAACTTCCTGTGGCACTTTGTGGTGCATCTTGGTGGAATGAGTCTATTACTGAATGAGCTCCTGTGGCTGACCAGCATGTCATGGAGTGGGTGGAAGACATTATCCAAGATAACTTGCAACTTAGACTGCCCCACAGTCAGAGAGTCCAGCCACATTTAATGTCAGATAGTGAGAAAAAAAAAGGTTATGTTTCCTTTTATAATGTGTATGTAAACTTCTGGTTTCAACTGTATGTATCCTGCCATCCAGAGTGGTGATTATGCACTTGTAATTACAAAGGTAAGCTTTTCTGGTAGCTCAAGAGGTTGAGCAGGATTTTGTACATTATAACAGCTGCAGAGTTTTCCCACAGTGCTCCACACTGTTGCTGTGGCACTGAATAATTGGCTGCAGATTTGCAATTAGGCTGCATGGAAACCTTGCTAACACCAGCCAGCTGCCTTTAAAATGTGTCCCTGCTCTCCTCCCACCATCTCTTCATATCCTCACACGTACTCTGTTGTTTCTCTTCATCAATCTATTATCATCTGGACTGGATTACACACACACACACACACTCTCACACACACTCACTCTCTCACTCACACACACACACACACAGGACTGCAGCCAGGGTTGACATCAGAATCTTTGAAGATTTACAGAGATTTTAGCATGAGTTCATTTCTGAAAGTGTAGACGTGGCGACTCTAATATGAACTATACTGGAATGAAGCAGCTTACCTCAGCTCTCTGTGCACTTGTAAATCAAAACCCAACTTCAGCTGTTAAACAGATAACAGTGAGCTCTGCAGTTTGCACTGTAAGCAATAGCATCCAACAACAAGGAAGCATGAACTGAGTCACTACATTGATGAGTAGTAAACAGGAAGAAGCTATTATTACCCATTGAACTGAGTACACAACTGTTGCAGTATTAAAAAGGGTGATAGCAAGATGTATTAGAATTTTTTGTAGGAAGGTACTATGGACAATATACAATTCTAAAGGTATGTGAATTTAACCAAAGCTCCACAAATATATTTTTACAATATTTCCTGTCACATTTTTTTGGTACACATTTCCCAAACTTTCCTAAAGATGGACAACTGTAAAAACATACCAGATTCATACAGAAAACTACACAGTTCTTTCTGGCTCTGCACTGGATTGAATGAACCCAGCAGGCACTACCATCAGGTCATGTCTGAGCGTAGTTTTTTAAGACAGCTGTGCAGCAAAATGTTTCACAAATATATCTAAATTAATCTTCTTAATAGTGAGAACAGTTGTTTTCTTCAGGCAGTCACTGGAAATATTTATGCACCAAGGATTCTTTTTGCTGCTTAATGAGAAAATGTCTTTATGTGAGGTTGAGTTGCTGCATCACCTTTGTTCTTTAGATGAATCAAAACTCAAAGAAGAAAGCAAGCAGCAAATACGAATATCTAACTCTTCTGTATTATGTTCCCAATTAAAGAGTTCATTTTACCTTTAGTTATGTCATGGGGCGTCACAAACCCAGGCACAAATAGAGAAAGCGCAGCACAACAGGGATTTAAAATCAGAGTTTAACACAAAGGAATTTAAACGCACAATGATTAAATGAGTTAACGGAAACATTAGATGACAACTAACGACATGACAGAGGAATTACAGGGGAAGAATAGGGCTACGGAAGCCGAGAATGGACAAGAAGCTTGAGTTTGCCGAACTATGAACAAACAGTTCAGACTTAATCTTATAGGACTTATAATTATCAAAAGCAGAGATCTAACCAGAACCAAGTCGCTCCAGGCCAGGAGAGTTTTAAGACTGAAACAGATTGCAGAATCAGACTAAAAGCAGTCTTTACACTGAATGCACAGACACGCGGAAGCACTATGCAGAAAGCGCTGACATGGCGTAACAAAGAAGCACTAGACTAAAATAATACACTTACTTGAACTAGGACACTAAAATGCAAAATTACTGACAATCTAATCAGAATCAATAAACAAGAAACGGACCAGTGTGGTCAAGGGAATGCGGGCAAAGGAGGAGTGTAGCAAAGTGTGAATGGCTTCTCATGCAGGTAAGGGTGCCAGGTGCGGATCAATGGAGGTAACCAGAGATGAACCAGGTCCAAACAGGTTATGATGTGAGCTGAGGCCTTGATAAGAGGCAGGAAGTGCAGGCAGGGAGTGACTAGACGATGGAGAATTGGGTTAGCAAGAGCAAGGTAACAAACTGGAGCAGAGTAATGGCCTGAGTTCACCAACTGGAGGTTGTTCAACAGTCTGGTGTCAAGTGTTGATCTGAGCCCATCTTTTGTGGTATGAGATTAATGAGTGCAGGTGAGCCACTCCTCATGCAGGTGTCCTCATTCAGCTGATATCCAATGGGCAGGTTATATTGACATATCGGCGCACACATCTTACTCATGCCCACATAAAGGGAAAGTAAAAAGGTGGAAAGGAAGAGGGAGAGGAAAGGCTGCCACTAAGCAGAGGTGGAGGAGATGACAAATTTAATCATAATTACTAATAAAGCAAGACAATTTGCATATATGTCGTCTTAAATGTTAAAATAAACGAAATCTCTACAAGTATCAAGTTTCATAATACCATAACATTTTATTTTCCTCAGTGAAATGGAGTTTTGTTACTGAACTGGAATTCATATGGGCAGTGAGTAAAAACATACCATGAGTTTCTGCAGCAGGGTCATCTGCCCTCCAGTTTTAATTATCACTGTCATGCTCTTCTCCTCTGCCTCTGCTCTCCTTCTTTTCCCCATTACCTCACGTGGGCGTGTGTGTGTGTGTGGGTGTCACTCCGATTGGATAATCAGCTGAGTGAGGACACCTGCTCAACAAAACATGGGCCGCCATTAAACATGGGCTCAACTCACCATTTGACGCCAGACTCTTGATCAGGCAAAATGCTTTGTTCTGCTCCCTGCCTGGAAAATGTTCCTCCTGTTGTACACTCCAACACACAATGCCACACCAGTCCCTCCACCAGGCCTCAACTCATCTCTGGACCCTCATCTATGGTCCCCTAATTGGCATCCAAGCCCAAAACCACGCTTCCATTCCTCTTCCGTCCACAGACCCCCCTGACTGCTCTCCCTCCCTCTGCCTTCCAGCTGAGTAGCTCGTATCATGCCCTGTGCTCTCCGTCTTGTTATCATTAGCTAAGTCTTGTATCTCTTGTAGTAGTATGTATATGCTTTGAACGCTTTATTCTTGTGTAGTGCATTCGGTTCCTGGTTCTTTGTAGCTGTGCTAATGCGCTCTGTTCTTGTCTAGTTCTGGGGCTGTGCCATGCATCCAGTTCTTGGCTTGTAGGAGATGTAATACTGTTTGTAATTCCCGGCTGCTATCCATGTCTTGTGATACTTGGTCTTGTTCAGTATCCCCTTCCAATAAGTGTCTGTTTATTATCAGCATTCTTTAATCAGTCTGCAGTGTATGTCTGGATCTTTAGTGAATTTGTATAGCTTGGCCTACATTGGTTCCCCAGCATTGGGTTATTGTGTAGTACTGCCCCGTTGATTAGATTATCCCTTCTGTTTTCCCCCCGAAATTGATATATATATTGCAATTTGTGCAATTATTATTATTATTATTAGTAGTAGTAGTAGTAGTAGTAGTAGTAGTAGTATTTTTAAAAAACGATGTGAAAGGATCTGGTCGAAATCCATGTTACGTTAAATTGTAGGAGCACCTAGAGCTCACCTGGATGAGCAGGCATCACATTTATAAGGTCTACAGTACCTGACACAGTGTCCCTGGATGGATTCCAGCACAGGGTTTGCCGCCATTATCTTTGTGCTCCCCACTTTTCAGTCACAACAAATAAAGAATTAACCTGATTTAGAGTTAATGGCTGACATATTTCCAGTTTGACAGATTAGGATGCAGATTCAGTGCTCTAAAATGTTACAGAAAGAGTTAGTTTCAGCAAGTTTTAAATATATTTATTTGTTAATCAAACAGGGCTGCAAGGTGGCGCAGTTGGTAGCAGCAAGAAGGTCGCCGGTTCGCGTCCCGGTGGGGGCACCGGAATCTTTTTGCGTGGAGTTTGCATGTTCTCCCCGTGCAGCGTGGGTTCTCTCCGGGTTCTCTGGCTTCCTCCCACACAGTCCAAAAACATGCCGAGG